AAGAAAATTTATGCTAGTAACAGTTTAGATGACAAACAGAAATCTTTGAAACACTAATTTACATTCTGTTATGCTATCTGTTTTCTTTTTGCATTTCAGACAGCTTGGAGAATGAAAATAAAATGATCAGTTTCAATTTTGTATAGCTGTTTTCACTTTTTGGTTTTCATTTGTTTGCATATTCAAAGTGCTATACAAAACTCTGTAGTTCAGTGTTGATGCTGCATACTCTGCAGAGGAATATTTAAATACAAACAAACATCTTCCTTAAGTTAAAACAAACAAACAAAAAAAGCCTACCTCTATTAATATTAAGCATCATAAATTCTTAATTATAGGGACCTGAATTTTGGGTCTATGGTGCCCGGCAATGTCCCTTTTGCCATACTATTTTAGGTGGAAGTGTAAAATTTTTGAAGGCTGAGTGTTACTTCACAGAATCTTCTATGTGACACTGAGCAGCTGGGCAGAGTGACCTGAAATTGGATGATCAGCAATCTTTTAAACTAAATATGGTGCAGCAGAGCAGTAGTTCTTTGCAGTGCTTTATTAGAGTTCAGCCCTTTTCACAGTCTCTTGCTCAAATAGGCTGACAGTACTGCTAAGGTCAGCAGTGACCCCCACCCCCTTCCCTCCCTAAGACTTTTACCGAAGCCCTTTGTTGTGGATTACCTCTTTGTAATCCTGTCCCTTCCCATTTCTTGTGGTACCTGCAAATACTACAGTTGCCTTAAAGATGGGAAGGCAATGGGACTCTAGCTGGACTACAGAACTTGTGTGATCAGTTGCTGGGGGAGAGTGGGGTCACTAATTTAGCAAAAGCACTTTGCGCCTTCCTACCATAAGCTGAGAACACCACCAAGGCAGTCTGCATTGCAGAGATGAAGTTCTAGGCCTCCAAGGTTTTTCAAGAGATAGAACATATGTTCTATCTGCTAGGACTGTAAAAGATGAATGTCCTTATGTGGGAGCTTGAACTAAAGATCTCTTTGAGGAGTCCTGAGGATTTCCAAGCAGCTGGTATGTTAGGCAGTCCTCACACTCCACTTCAGCTGTGGCTTTATATAGTCCGAATACTCAGCCATTGATCTGTAGCAAATTTAGCTTTGACATACATTTTTAACGTATGCTATCTGCCAAGGTTGAACATCTGAGCAGTAGTTATAGGCTAATGAATATTATGGCAGGAAGTAATTTAATGCCTTATATTTTCTATTTAGACAGTTTTTGTTTGCCAGAAATGTTTTCCAGACTCTTCATGTAAGAGATTTATTCCCTACAAGTTGCTTTAGTTGATTCAGTAAATTTGTATTTCTCATACACACTCTCACTTTTTAAACTTGCAAGCCACAGGCACGTCAGAACCAGCTTATCACCGTTAAGATGGCCCCAGATGATGGTAAAATGCATATTTTCCCTCTTTAAACCACAGTTTGGGAACAATATTTCCCTAAAATCCAAGTGTATGGAGCAAAGGAGCACTACCTCCTGCTATTGAAACAGCCAGCCTTCCCAGGTAGTACTCACAAAAATGTGTCTCAGATTTCTTTTTGGTCATGGTTGATTGACTTTTATTTATATTATCATAACACATTTTCCACTCTTATAATCTTATATCTGAAGCCATTCGGTAGATTGCTGGTGTCCAAGGCAAAAATGATTAACTCTGGCTAAGCCTGGAGGTTATCTAGTATTGAAAATGTATCTGTTATCTTTTTCCCTTTAAAAAAAAAAAATTAGCATACTTTCTATGTAAGTTCTGCTTGTGCTGGAGTAGTGAGCACCTGATTCTTTATTTTAACTGCTTTACAGCTGAGCTGACTTGGGTACAAAGAAGGTCAACTGTCTTGACTGAAGTTACACATGGAGTAAATGGCTTAGCTAAGATTTGTACCCAAGCTCTTCCTGGATCTCAACACTGTTATGTAACCAATAAGGCCAAGTTTGCACTATGGCACCATATCTATGCGTCTGTGGCACCATAGTATAAGCGTGTCCTACGATGATGGAAGGGATTTTTCCCATTGCTGTAGGAACTCCACTTCCTCAAACGATGATAGCTAGGTCGATGGAAGCATTTTTTCATTGACTCAGCTGTATCTATGCTAGGGGTTAAGTTGGCATAGCTATGGTGCTCAGGCATATGGGTTTGTCACATCCATGAGTGCCATAGCTATGTCACACTAACATTTAAGTGTAGACCAAGCCTAAGGAAACTATTGTAGATAATATTTTGAACTTATTGTACCTTTTGCATAACTTCAAAGCACTTTAGAAAGGTGAGTCTTGCAAAGGTTCTGTTGGAGGAGATGGTTGAAAATTAAGCAAGAGAAAGAAAGTGACGACTTTCCCCAGTTTGTACAGTGAGTCAGTGGCTGAGCTGGAAATAAAAGTTGGGCCTCCTGTCTCCTAGTCACCTACAATGTCTCCTAGATCCTGGAGCCTCTCTGAATGCTCCAGCTCCAAGAGTCTGTCTCTCTCTGCAGAGACAAAACTGTTTGTGCTTGCATAGCAACAGCCAATAGCAATTGAAATCAGTTAGTATTTTTAGTACTCTAATAAGCAATGCCCAGTTGATTGGGCAGTTAGAGGGAGCCTTAAACTCTTCCTGTAATCGTGTATAGTTACCATGATATGTTTTAATTAGCCAAAGCAGGTGCAATTTTAGCTCTACTTGTTAAAAGTCATTTTAATGTTACACACTTACCTGGGGCCAATAGTCACATATACTCCACTGACCTCTTTGTCCTTATTAAGTCCCATGCCACCCTTTTGCACAAATGTCTGACAAATTCCATAATGCTCTGCTAATTTGAAGCAATATCCTAAACACATGTGGACATTATTCTATTAAACTACAAAGTAGCACTGGTAAAGAATATTGTGACAGCAGAACAGATCCTTACACAGAAGGAAGCCATCTGTAATCAGTATAAGGATTAGCACCTCCTGCTTTTCAATAATATCCTTATATTAATCATATTAACATAAGTTTCTTGAATTTTAAAGAGATTTTTGTCACTTGGATCTTACAATGAATAACGCCTCATCAGTAGTAGAAAGTGTGCTGATCAGGCACTTCCATTCTGAGCTCCTGTTCTCATGTGCTTATTAACATGCCATAAAATTATGCTTCAGTCCAAAATTTTTCATGATTGTTCTCAGCCCAAATCTGAATTTCTTTTGAGAAGTGTGGTAACATTTTGTTTAGCTATTTTAGTTACTTACAAAATTTGAACAGTTTTTTTAAAAGTGTCTTCGAATAACCCCAAATACTTGGTTCTGAAAGTTCACTTTGAGCTCCAATGAAGGCAAGTGCATTTGGCATGCAAGCATCTAGTAGTCATATTCAGTTTGACTTTCCACTAAACTTTGCCATATGGAGATGCTAAACTCTAGACCTGATCATGATTTAGTACATATTTCAACACCGAGTATCCCAGATATAAATGTCTTTGTCATTAATCATTCAAATAAAGTGGTTATGTACCTGATAGTGTTTTCATATATGTGTTAATTTTCCTTGTGAAGCAAATGTACATTTCAGTAAAGGCAAGAGTGGCACACCAGTAATGCACACTGACTAGCTGGTATACTTGGTACTCTTCATGATTGAGTTTCACATGTTTAAATATATGCATGCATTTATTTCAGTATGATCAGACCAAGTTTTTCTTTTTTAGAGGGAAAGTCATTTTACATTATGATGACTGAGGGTTGAAATGACCGATGGGGAGACAATTCTGAATTTTGGTTACACTGAACAGCTGTTAGTGACATTGACAGTTATCTACTGAAAAATACTAAATTGGGAGGAATTTGTTAAGGAACCCTATTTTGAATTTCCTGTCATTTCATGAAATGCTGAATTAGAATGCAGTTATTGCTCAGGGCTGGTTCAGGCATATATGGGCTCCACCTGCAAAGCCATTTGATTGGGCCCCACAACTACAAAAGCCAAGATTCATTGTGCATCCTATTCCCACCAACTATGTGCCTGAAACTTCTAAGCCATACCAGATATGAGGGTTTAATGTTGTCATTGGGTAAGATTAAATAATAATTTCTGAACTGCACTGTGTATTTGTCGAGAGAGTTTGGGGAATAGTGGATGGAGATTCCTTGTTAAATTGGGGTCACTTATGACTATGAATTTTGCAACCTTGGCTAAACTAGCCCTTATAGAAATGCTTATCTGTAAAATAGCAACACTTCAAAGATGGCTGAATAATGTCTTGTTCACAAGATTTATGTATGTCTGACAGCATTAGCACAACATTACATGATATATTTTCTTTCCCCTATTTCTCTTCACTTTAAGGTGAGGGATACTTTTTGCCAGTCATTGATCTAGAAATGGGCAATAGTTATAGGTGTCTGTCTATTTTTTTTCCCCCTGTTGCTTAGTGTTACTTAATGACTTGTGAGAAGAAGAGAACAATGTTTTATCCCATTACATAAATAAATCTATCACCATCTGTTATAACCTAGATTGTTATGAGCATGATGTCTGATTGAATTAGTTATTAAAGACATTTTATTTTATCATGGAAATTCATTTACTATATTTAAAAACACATATTTAGCAAGTAACATTTTCTTCAATCTGTAGTTGCCTTTGTTTATGTACAATTAGTTCTTTAGGATAATTCCTTAAGTATCTCTCTTGTGACCATCCAGACTATGATAGACTTTCTTCTTTGCCAAGCTAATTGCATGACTGCTTTCAGTGCTTCAAACCCCGCTTGACAAGAATCTGATCTCTCAATTCCTTTTTTTTTTTTTTTTTTTTGTTAGTCTTTAGATGACTACTTAAAATAATTTAGTGCCAGTTGAAAATGTAAGCCATACATAGATGTGAGAGGTGCTTTTTAAAAGGCGGGAGGAGACACAGGGACATTTCAGTATGGTCCTTGTAAGAAGGAGCTCTTATTTTTAATATCTTCAAGACAATTGGACTGATAAGAAACAGTGTCCAGGATCTCTCTTTCTATTTTCAGGTTTGGGGTAAGAGCTGTCCAATGTAGTCATGGCTCGAGAACGAAAATGCATACTATGTCACATCGTGTACAGCTCAAAAAAGGTAAAAAATAAAATGAATTTGCAAGGCTAATATCTTTGTATGTGGCGATCTGGCTATATGCAGCATGGGAGAAATGTGTCCTTTCTTTTAAAAAAGAAACTGTAAAGATAACTTTTTGTATCAGAAACTGATAGAGATCTTCAGGTCTATTGAATGAAATAGAATTGTTTCAGTACTTCCTGATAGCCTCTTCCTCAATGTGTTCATGTACTGGATATACATTCTCATTAAGTATTAAAAATATCCATGGCTTTCAAGTTTTAATGTAATCTTTTGTATGATTACATTAAAAAGTGTATGAAAGTTGTAAGTCAAGCACTCAGAAGCCCCCTCAGCCTTAATTCTGTTCCCTTGTGCATTCAGAGTGTCTTATGACATAATCATATTTTGTTTTTTGTGATGGGTCCCTACATCTTTCAATATGTCAGAAGGACATTGTTTATCAATTGAGGCAGCTCATTTTCTCATCATCCTTGTTTAGTATTTGCTGTGGCTTGTTTACGGCATGTCTTCCAAACCCTGCACTGCAGATGGAATTTTTCTTTTCCTTAGACTTTCTTGTAGTGCTTATCAATGCAGTATCAGAGTATCTCACAAACAGTAATTACTTTTATTTTCATAACATTTTAGTAAGGACAAAGTGCTATTCCCATTTTATTAATGAGGATCTGAGAGCAGAGAGAGAAGGGTGGCCATTTTTCCAAGTGTGTCTGTTCTAGGCAGGAAAAGAAAATGGAGCGCCTAGTCCCATTCCTGTTCCTTAACATGAGTGTTCTTCCTCTTCTAGCAGACATCTGCCTCATTTGCAACATGTTATACAATGACTGCAGTGAATGAGTCAAAACTGTTTTAAATCCAAAACCAATTCACTATGCATGTCTCAGTTCTGTCTAGAATGCGCACCGAATGAAACAGGTCCTGCAGAGCAAAGCAGTGTGTGTTGATGTAAAGTAACACTGTATCATAATGCATATACACTCACAAGCAGCCCTAACGTTGTAAATATTCTGATTTTTGGGGGGGGATGTTAAAAAAAGCCAAACTAAGACTGTTTATGTTGTGGAATGTTTTTTTAAAGAAATAATTGTTGTACAGTTATTTTCTAGCAAGGAGTGGAACACGTTGAAGTCAGAGCCCTTGCCTCATTCTATGTACGCTTTTCTATATCCACCTTCTAGAGCTCTGCCCTCCTTCTATATGAATCCCAAAGATCAATCCTATGGAAGGAAGCTTAGTGGGTAATTCCTCAGGGTGACACCACCTTCAAAAGAAATAGAAAAGACCTATTAGAGCAGAATATATCCTCATGCAGAGTAAAATGAATCATGAGTTATGCTTTTTTTTTTTTCCTTTTGTAGGAGATGGATGAACACATGAGAAGCATGCTTCACCACAGAGAACTTGAAAATCTGAAAGGAAGGTATGCGAATGATCATGCAAACTGCCTTTCAGTGCAGTTTACATGTCACACTTTTTGGGAACTAAATAGCCTTATTTCCCATGCAAGCTAAATTCAATTTAAAGGGAGAAGATAGATTAAGAATTAACTGTTTTTATAAAGCACATTTCTTTGTGCCTTTCTAATAGATACTAAAGATCTTAATAGCCATGAGGACATGTCCCTGTTAGGAGCATGGGATTTCTCCCTAAATCTGTACAGTTTGCTGCAACTATTAGCTTGGGCTGTAGTTTGGTTTTTTTCTACTTTCTTACAAAATATCTGTTGCTTTAGTTAGTTTAAATTCAAATGCCTAATATGCTGGTGGGCTAAATCATCTGGAAAATCCAAATCATAGGAATCATAAATAAAATCCTTTTTATTTAAAAAAAAAATTGTTGTGCAGGATGATTAAGACTTTGCAAGTTTAGAGATAGACATTCCAATTTGTACCCAACCCCACGTTTAGTCTGAAATGCACAGACATTTAGTACATAGAGGCTCCAACTCTGAATAGTGCCCCATTGTGATGGGAGCTGTATATGCGCATAATAAGAGACATTCCCTACCTGAAGAATTTACAATCTGATTAAATTAGAATGATGGACAGGAGGGGAAATGGGCATAGCAAGTTGAAATGACTTGCTCAAGGTTGCACAGCAGGTTAATTTCCGAGCTGGGAGTAGAACCTAGCTCTCCTAAGTCCCCACCCAGTGTCCTGTTTACTGTACCATACAGCCTCTGACCTTCAAATAAAGTATTTATACCATATGAATTTTTTTAAAAGTTTATATTGGGATTCCCTCTGAGACCTTTTCCACTACACCTTGTCCAGTTCTGGGAGAACACTTCAGCCAGTTCCCTGGGATTCAAAACACTCAGTTTGACTCTGGATTTCGTCACTCACATTCCTCTATTTGACATATAGCAAAGCTACGCTGAGTTGATCGCAGGGGGTCTAGGGTGTACCACACATCCAAAGTTACACAGAAAACCTCTTCCTTTGTATGCCTTTACACAATATGTTGCATTTGCTATACATGAAATCACAAATTTTTTGGATTGGCTTGCTTACTTTGCAGGAACCAGTCGGTGTACATCATTCTCTAGCCATGTGCTGTCCACGTGGAAACTGATCTTTACATTCCAGGTTTATTTTGTCCATAGTCTCCATCAAGGTATTGCTGCTTATCTTAGTTAGCACAGACTTCCTGTCAAGCCCCTATTTACAACTTAACATTCCATTCACCTTCCCAATTATGCCCACTAAGAAATTAGGCGAGTTACTTGTGTCAAGCCAGGCCTACAGTATATTTAAAAAATAACTCCCCTAAAATCCAAATGATCCTTCACTCTCAAATGCTAATGGTGTTCTGGATAAGCTGAATGGAAAAGGGGGAATTCTGCGTCACTGCACATGCACAGAATTTGTCTCCCGCAGATATCTTTGCTTCCCTGCAGACAAACGACCTTCCCCTGCAGTATGTTTTGGGTGCCCAGGGCAGCTGACAGAGAGGTAAATCACTGTGGGGCAGGAGACAGGACTGGGGAAGACCTGGCTGGTGGCTCCTTTCCTGCGCCAGGCTCAGCTGCTAGCCCCAGCTGGGCTGGGGAAGATGAAACTTCCTCTTCCTCTGCACAGCATCTGGGGCCAGCTCAGACCCACCCCAGATTTCTCCCCCAGCTGCAGGAAGCTCTGCAAACTCCCCCCGCTTCCTGCACCCATTGCTCCTCAGCTGCAGGGTGAGGGATTCCTGTACAGGTTGCTGCTCCCCAATATGTCCAACTCTTTTGCATCCAGACCCCCTCATACCCAGACCCTCCCACCAAGCCTTCCTCCTCCCTCCCCACACTTAGAACCTCTCCTCAGCCCCCCGATAAGCCCCACTCCCCCTGCACCTGGACCATCCCGACGAGCCACCCGGATCCCCCCACACACCAAGCCCCAACCAGCTGCACCTGGATCCCCACCGCACTGAGCCGCACACCCAGACACCTCCCTCCCCCCGCCCTCCCCCCCCGCTGATCCCTAACCAGTTCACCTGGACCCCCCTGCAGAGTCCCATTACTGTTGCACCCAGAACCCCCCAAGTAAGCCCCTGTGGATCCAGAGCCACACCTGCATCCCCCACTGAGTCACCTGCACCCAGATTGCCCCATACAGAACCCTCTTAACCCACACCTGGATCCTCCCACACTAAGCCCCTCCACTCTTGGATCCTGCCTTGCTGAGCCTGCCAGCCCACAGAGAGGGGCAGGGCCCTGGGGTGTTTTCTGGGGCAGGCTGGGTCCTTGCACTGTGTCAGGGTTGGGTGCAGTCTCACCACTGAGTCCGTGTCCTGGGGGGAGTTGCACAATGATCTCCCACCTCTGTGCAGCCAGTGGCCTGTGCTCCCCAATGCCATGTTGGAGTCTCTACATTTATTTGACAAATAAAATTTGCAAAATTTTGTAGAATTTTAAAATCTTGTGTGCAGAATTTTAATTTTTTGGCACAAAATGCCCTCAGGAGTAAACTACTACTGTGGTGGTGAATAAATGTAAGGTGTCCAGACTTTCAATGACAAAACTGACATCTTGCCAGTTGGGGAAAATGTGCCTGAGAGGACTTTTGATGACTCTTTGGGGAAGGTTGATTACTTCTTCAGCCCGCCATTTAGATGAGAAAAGGACACTTAACAGTAAAAGGTGTAGTGCAGAGGAAAATGGTGTTTGCTCACTACCCTCTTCTTTTTCTCATCCTTCTCTATCTTTCTTGCTCACTCCTCTGTTCATTCTTTTTTTTTCTAATCTCTCTATTCTGTTACCCTTCTAAATCATCAGTGATGCTTTTAAAAAGCACTTCCTCACTCTGTTGTCTTTCCCCACTGTGCCCCATGTCTCTTTGGGAATAGGAAGGGCCTGAAATTGTGCCTGGAATCAAAAGCACCTTATTTCTGCCTCTCATCTGTTCTGATTCTTAGCAGCAGAGGACATCTGTTCTGTTGGTGAACAGCTGAGAAGTGGTTGCTCAGATACCCCTGTGTCATCAACATTAACTTTAGCAGTTTGTCTCAAGCGTCTATGTTCTGGCTAATTTTTAAAGCATTCCCTTTAGTGTATCTTTTCTTACAGCATATGGTAATGATTCTGAATACTTTAACAATTGCTGAGGCTGGGATAGATTCAAGAGCTAAAGATGGTGCAGATGGCAGCTTAAAGTCTTAGTCTTCCATTTTGTGTTTGGATTTCTAGGGCACGGTTTCCCCCCAGCTGACAACTCCTCTCTCAGCTACTGTTGAACGTTAAAGTCCTGCCACATTTCACCTAACACTAGCTATCAGTTTAATTCTTTACAAATTATATATAATATACACATACACACACTGGAGCTAGAACTGCTTCAAAATGGATCATCCACATTGTGTAATAAACTTCCCTCTCATCAAACAGACTTATCTCAATATTCTTCAGCTTGGGCCCGGGGAGGTGTGGGTTTGGGGTTTTTTTCACTTTTTTTTTTTTTTTTTTTTTTTAAACTAAGTGCCTTTCATCACTTTTACCATCTGGAGATATCATCTATTGAATTCAGTATTTAACTCTGTATTGTTATCCTGTTGTATTCTTTGTGAAATCTTGGTTTTAGATGAAAAGGAAAATTTCAGATTTCCATTGTATCTGATATTGTGAAATTTCAAAAGATTTAGTAACTGTAGTTTTCCATTTTCTTAGTATCAGAGATGAAAGAGAGTGATTTTAATGTGTGTTTCATTCTGCTGTCGAAGTATTTCCATCACTTTGATTTGGATCTCTTCCTACAAGAAAGGCATCTGTGCTCTGGCAGACCTAGTTCTTATACTTGAGAATCAAAATGGATAGTAAATTGTTTAGTTTACAACCTTTCTTTCTCTTTCGCAATTTGGAGTACTAGAAATCTACATGGAATTTCACAATTTATGTAAAAGACAAGGGGTAGTCTCCAGGAAGGAGACTTGCAGCAGCAGCCTCATAAACCTCAGTATGTGGACTAGCTACTAGAGGGGACAAAGAGCTACACTGTTAACATGAGTTACATTAACATTTATATTATCTATAGGTTTCAGGGTTAACACCCCATTGGCATGAGTCAGTTCACGCTTCTGAGTTTGTCTGCAGAGGAAGACATAACTGCATTGGTTTAAACTTCGTTTGCATTTTTTTAAGTTAACTTTGTAACCGTGAGGGCTAAAATTGTAAGTGAAAACTTAAATTCTTGAGCACAATTGTGTGGCCAGAGGTGAATTCTGTAAGTTATGTTGCCCCAACGGAGTATGTGGGACCCTGGTTATAACTTCACTTTCCAGTGAGACCATCATATTTTGTAAGAATTCTGTTTTGGACAGTAATTCAGAAAACTCAGAGTGGTGTCTGCCTCACTCAAAGAGACTTGGCTTGAGCCTTCACATCTTGCCTCTGAAAACTAAGTCTCTTCATTTGGGTTGGTGGGTTGTTTTAGCATTTTGTCACTTAACGCGTGTATTCTTCTAACTTCAGATTTTCCACAAAATTCTCAGTCTTTAAACAAGGTCTTCCCTTCGGCATATCTGGGACCCAGGATCTTATGCTTGCCAAAAGATGCATATGGTTCCATCGTATTCTTGTGCTGCCTCTCTTTAGGACTACTGAGCGTTAAGCTGCCACTACCTTTCTCTCTCTTCTTGAAACAACTACTTTACTTTATAATGAAAATGTAAATTCTGGAGAAAAGTCACATTAAATGGAGACTGTTAAGTCCTCAGGTATATGGCTCTTGCCCTTGACTTGCATTTCTGTTTAGCGGTCTCAGCTATGTATAATGGGCATGAAACTTCAGCAGTCATCTTAAGTATTATGATACACATGATGTCTAGTCCGAGTGACTTCATAACAGCAATTGGAATGAGGCCAAAGTCTTACAAAAAGACTCTTTTCCAGCTAAAATTGAAAATGCAACGGCACTTCAGTTTGGACAGAGATTATCCAAT